TATGTGGATATGGATATTATGATATTTAGATATTTAGACAATTCTCATAATTTTTGCAAAAGGCTGTATTTCTACTTATATGCACATATACACACCAAAACACAAAAATTTTGCTTCCTAATATATCATTGGATTTTAATATATCAAATACGATTTCTATATATGTCTTAGGCGCTTCTTAGTCTTTTGTCTTCATTGGAAAACTAACTGCAAAAGACACATATTAATTTTTTTTTCGGTCCGGTGTTCTAGTTATTCTAGCTGCGCTCGGTTCGTACTGTCAAGACCTCGGACAGTGTTTTCCTATACGGACCTCCCAGCCGGTAAATATATATATCTCAAAAAGTCAAGGTTTTTTTTGCAAATGATTGTATATATATCAATTATATATGAAATGAATTATATGGAGCAGAATTTTTGCGCTTTGATGTTATAGTTGGCTATTTTAATATTTAATTGCTTGAATTATTATTACTCGAAGTATGGTTTGATTTTTTGRATAGACGGACTGTTCATTTCCAAGCCTTCATTTGCGTGATAAATTACAGTCTCTCAAGAAATGTTTTCTTAATTACGCACTTCCATATTATCAGTATTAATTGAAAAAAAATTCGACAGTTCCTGATTAAGAATTACCGCCACGTTTTATACGGAATCACGTTTTTCTTTGTACACGTTCACGCTGATATTGTATAGTCTGCTAGTGTTATCAAAACCTCAGCCTATAAACCCACCACTGATCGCCCACTGATTTCTCTCCACAGATCCTGTAAAAGCTTCATATATTTGGTAGCACGCTAACCTAAATGTGGTATATCATCGTGTAAATCTTAATTGGACGGTTYTTCCTGGCTCAATTGGTCGTGTACTTAGTGGTTTTCTTATMATTTGTACTGGACAAACCGTTCTTATGGTRCGCTAACCTCGACGTGGTTTATCACCGAGTAAAGAATATTTGGTCGCTTCTTGTTGGCTTTTTGTAGTCTTCGCTGCTCATGCATATGGAACGTTAGCCTTATCGTGGTACGATATCGAATAGAGGGTACTTAGACAGTYCCTTGGTCGTTTGTTTTTACAGAACTCGTTACTCTTGGCACACCGCTCGCTAGGTAATAAAACCTGACTCTGTATCTAAGAGAGATCTAAAGGCTTTGAGCATTTTTCTCGCTTTGCTGTGTCACCGTTTCAATTGAAATCCCTTGTTCCACAATCACAGTTATATTGGACTACGTTTACTATCATTACCATTGAAAACGGTCTAACTATATTACCGATTTAAAGACTTCAGTGAGCTGGTCTTCCACAGTTTATTGAGACACTCTTCATAAAGACTTCATTTAAAATTGCTGATTGGTTTGGAAGTCTTCCTTTCAAGCTCAAAGTTCTAATAACATCGCCTTCATACTTATCAACAAAAGAAGAAKAATTTGACTTCATAATCTGTGTTTTCATCAATATTATCCATTGGAGACACAACATTATTTCAACAGRGATCGGCAGCTGTATTTTTCATTGGTCACWGGCTTTGTGTACGTTCTGAGCTTCTTAACTTGGATTAAAACTTGAAAACKCCTTKGGAAGCATTATAAAAGCAATTTTRWAATATCGTAGAGCGTTGGGTWCCCTGTGCGACCCGTTCCTCTACAAACAATGCCGCTGAACTATCTGACCGGCCAACACATCAATGACATTTTAAAGAAGTCAAACCTTGAGGAGCTACCTTTGTGGTTTATAGCACTCGGTTGGGTAATAACCATTATAAACATTATTGCCAATAGTATCTTAATATTTGTCATCAGAAGACATTTCATGGACAACACKCACTAYTGGTTTACMTTTTCTCTAGCAACCGCTGACCTTCTGATCGGGTTCTCAATTTTTCCATCGATCTTCTTTTGCAATGTTTTCAGCACACASCCTTGTGATTGGTACGTTCAAGTCTTTGTCTTCAGCTCTTTTATTTATGTATCAGTTAGTAGCGTTATTACAACCATATTTGGRCATTATATAACAATGGCGTTTCCTTTGAGGTACGCAACACTTATGAAGTCATCAAGGGTCTGGAAAATAATTTTGGTCTCATGGGTAACGCCGCTGTTTCTTGGATTGCTGCCTATTTCGTGGAAAAATTTAGTACATGATAAAGAGATATCAAAGGCAACGGAAAAGTACTATGCTTGTATGCTGATTATCTTCGAAATCGTTCCTTTCTTGATTTTTCTCTTGATGTCTTTTCATTTAATCAAAATTGTTAAAACCCAAAAGAACAAAATCCAAGCGCATTGTAATGTGCAAGGTCATCTAAGCCCTGCCCCTGTCCGTAAAAGCTTCGATACCAAAAACAGTAGTAGCAGTGTTACTAAAAATAACTTTGACGTCACTGACATTTCTATGAATCAAGACAGTGCTTTCTCAATCTCAAAACCCGAACTCTCTGATGGAATAAACCCGCCATGCGAATCTTTTTCGCCAATTCCTGAAACTACACAAAAGACCAACATTACGGACAAAAGAGAAGAAATGAAGACGAATCGCCCGAACTACCTATATTCGTTAAACAACTGGCTTCCTTCGTTGCCRAGGAGACCAAGCTCAGAAACAAAAACCAGTTTGGACATGAGTGACTTCACTTCTTCAATTTCATTGTCTAATTCCAAGGAAATATTAAAYCGTATTCGCATTCGACAATTTCGTGATCAAAGACATCGGTCGGCACTGATAAGCTGTTTATTGGCCGTGTTTGTGATTTGTTATATTTTAACTCTAGCTAATGCTAGTTGCTTGTTTTTAAACTATTGTAGTGAACGCCTTCAGAGCATTAACTTTAAATTAATTACATTATTCTTCGAGTTACTRAACTCTACTCTAAATCCTTTATTATTCATACTGCTAGCCAAAGATTTAAGAAGAAAGGTAGCTAAATTATTTTTRTGTAAAAAAAGATAAATTATTACTGGAATGTTATTGTAAATATGTACAAAATAAAATGTTSAAATTATAATAATCAATGTTGCTTGTTTGTATGAAAAACAACTGAATTTTTATTCCATAATATGTTTGGTTTTTGTGGTACCCCTCGTGTTTAAAGGGAGAAACACTATGCCATTGTAAATYGTATGTGTGAGAGCACGTTATATTTTATAGTGAGGTTCAGCTGAATCGTGAAATATATCAGGGTTCAATTCATATTTTGGGATTCCTGTGCAGCATTTTTTCCCAACAGTGTAAAATGGCGCCCGTTTTAGGAACGGCGCCTTCCCGCTATTTTTTCCCGTAGTACGCGTACTAGCCGTACTCATTTCGCCTTATTCTATTTCTCTTTGAAACTATAATAGTTATTTAGAGAAGGTAAACTGAAAGGTAGGACCGCTTGGTGCACTAACGTACTGACTCACTATAAATCGCAATGTCAAATGAAATTGCGAAAAAAGTTTCAAATTTCACCTGCATCGTATAATATTTGTAAACTCTTTCCTAAGATCTGTTTTCAACATTGCATAAACAATAGGGTTGACGGCACTGTTAAGCAATAATAGTAACCACTGAGCTTGAGTCAAGGCTTCAGATACTCCACAAAGCTCGAAATARAAGCAGATTGAACGATATAAGGAAACGCCCCAACAAATAAGAAAAGCTGCGATGACTAAACCAATCACAGACGCACCAGACCGTCTCTTCTTTTGTATTATTTTCCCAAGTCTTTTCTTCATAGACTGTTTTTTAGCTTTGATGGGATCCGTGTGGAGCGCGCTGTAGAATGCWAAATATCGTTCATCTGAGCTCATAGCATTTTCAGCATCAATGATTGGRTTTTTACGTGTCTTTTTAGCAYCWATGTTTGAAYTATTTTCTTCGTCTAATTGCTTTTGCACTGAAGCATGATTAGATTGGATTGGAATCCTTTGCTCAGCTGTCCTTTYGGGTAGAACTTTATGGCAGTTAWGCACAGGGAACGGTATTTGTCCAKTCATGGCGACACTTTCGACCCCATTCTGATTATTATTTACTCTAAAACTGTTCATAAATGCTGCATTTAAGTTATGAACCCGCATTGACTGGCTTTTTAGGAAAGCATCTACTGTGTTTTCAGATTCCTTTGCATTATTTTCTACTATTGCATTCCCTATTTGGCAATCTTGATCAATAAATTCATGTTTAAAGCTATTTACTTCACATTTTTCTGTCAATTTCGTTATCATTSTGTTTGGTTTTTGGTTTCTTTCAAAGGTATTCCGGTTGTCATGGAATYCATCAGGTAAAACATGACAGTCTGTCTGTTTTTCTTCGTCGTGCTTTGCCAATTCKTCTTCGTTTTCTGACAGTTTCACATTAATGYGACATTTTACTGTGTTTGCGGAATCGCCAGGTGTTATAGCGCCATTATCACTCGCTTCTTTGTCCTTTACATGATTTAATATATCTGTAGATTTTAGATAATTATCCGTGTCAAAGTCCCCTACATGGGCATTATCATCAACAATATTCTCATATCCAGAAGCAGCAGGGTCCAATTCTTGATTATGGCAACGTTTGAGCGCATGCACTTCAGACATTACAGACCCAGAAGCTAATGATTTATTAAAAGAAACTGATGTTATATTGYTTTGATACGAATCATCTGCGCCCAGAACGTTTACTTCTTGGTCATTTCGGTTATTTATAGTCTGATAAGGGTTCTTAGGGCTTTTATTTGGTGGTTTATCCGTTCCAAATGAGAACTGTTTGTGTGAATTTAGGCTTGAAACGTCTTGTTCTTTAAGGTCATTTTGATCCTTAACCAAAGAAGCTGCAGTAGAAGCTAGTCCAGTCCTTGATTGGTTATTGTGCGAGACYATCCCAAATTGATTATTGCGCTCGGGGGTATAGTCGTTATATGATGTTGAACTTGAAGCATTTTGAACTATTGCCTTATTCTCAACAGAACTAGGAAATGATGGGTTATCGTAAGAAAGCATATCAAATTGAGTGTCAGATGCATTTGATTTGCATGAATTTTGACTTAGCGAAACGTCTTGATAACCTGCAAGGACATTCTCAGTTGGTTCRGARCCAGATRGATTTGTATTATAAGAAACCATACCGATTTGGTTCGCTGTTAKCTTCCTATGCCTTTGCGCCACAGTGAATATTTTCGARTACAGCACAACTAGGGCAAGCGCAGGCACCCCAACCATTGATATTGTCTCAATGGCGGTGAAATTCTTCAGCCAAAATTTCTTCGTCTCYTCYGACTTTGAATACARCCAAGTAAAATGYAGTARAAAGTTCACCAGTGGTATTAMCCAACACGTGGCGATTAATGTAGTACACTTTTGTCTAGACATATATATGTGATGTTTCATAGGTAAAACTATAAACACAAATCGTTCAATTGTCATCCCACAGAGGTTATAAATCGACCAGTACAAAAACAACTCAGAAAAGACCCTTTGGAGTAATACATCCGARGGAACAAGCGTGCATGCGAGCTTTGAAGGGAAGACAATYATCCCGACAAGTAAATCTGCAAAGGCTAAAGACACAATGAATGTGTTACTAATCCCAGATTGAAGAGATGACCGCGTCTTTACGAGATAGATAACACATCCATTGCCAAGAATRCAAAGAAACGAGACAAGAAAACCGAGAATGATGTACCAAACTGGTAATGAAGTTGTCGAAGCTCCACCGGGTTCAGAAAACGTTGTGTTGTTGGTACCATTTTGGATGCCAGAAACTAGTTCTAACATCTTGATAAGAGAATAAAACCAAACTGTTTTTACTTTAGATTCCGCACATTTTGAAAACTAACTAAAGTTCTCTTYGAATCAGTCCCTCASCTGAAGTTCTCTTGACCAATTTGCCTCTYTATTTCAATCCTTTTTTACTCTCGCAACTGATTAAATATATCTCTTTGGTAATCTTCTGTTATTTCCTTTGGTATTGAAAGTCAGTAGAATGCTTCCGCTTTCGTAATAGCCAGTTCCAAGATCAGATAACTCCAAGTCTYCTAAGTGCATTCATAGTAAATAGGCTCTTTTTTCTGCAACATTGAAGCCTCTTTATAAGTATCATGTTATTATACCTGTACTCTTAACTTGTCTTTCTCCATTTCTTGCTATATTCGTTGTTGATGCTTTACTGTACTTTTATTGCTTAATTAGGCCTTCTTTCCTTCTTCGCTACTTTTTCAACTCTTTTTGATGTTATCAGAGTTAATTTCCTTTTTATCAAACTGATTAAGATGGTAATGAATTTCCAGAAGRCAATCCAGCAAAGAAATCTATTTCCAATGTGCAACTCTTGACTTCAAAGAGGCTCTCCTTTTTCTACATGATTGTCACTCTCGAACTAATATCAACTCCAATCTATTTTGCGCTTTTATTAGATTCAGTGGTTTTCCAATTGAATCCATCACTAYAAAAACACTGGCGGCAGATGGTGTTATGAGAATTTAACGTTTGTTTGACCTCCGTCAAGCTTGCCTGTCATGCTTATGTTTACCCCTGACATCTTTTTTTTAAACTTCTGTATGCTCTTTATAAATACTTAACGCAAAAAATTGACAACGAAGACAGGAAAATGTACTTTGTTTATTAAAAAACCGGGATCGTATTCCTTTGAAGTGACAGYATATGATGTTTTTTTATAATGTTTCCAAAACAACCAAACAAAACCGTTATTTACATACTCTCTAGTTGAAGTGTCCATAACCTGCGAAACCTTTACCAATCAGGAGCTCTCTGAGGATCACGTGATATATTATCAGCACAAAACGTGGTCATTTCCAGTATGTTTAYAAGATCTTGCTCATATGAAAATCCAACTTGGAGGTAATAACTTCGGGGATTTTTGGTCACATGATTGTAATCGGGCAATAATGATTAGGCCTTCCCCTAATACTTTTAAGTAAAAGACACTTGAAGTTTAAATATAATTCTGCTTACGATTTTGTTTGCATTACAGGTGTTAATAGTTTTAAATTGAAAAAAAAAAGAAAATAACATACAAAAATGCTAAATAATTCAAACCAAAAATTTAACTTTTGATATAAAAATTCGTTGATTGAAGTCGAATTCTTTTCATTGTGTCTTAGGGCTGTTACCTTATGGTTTAATGGCTCGAGGTGGGATACCAAAGTGGAGTCACCTTTTATATCATCAATYTTAATACTGCAAATTGCGCGGGAAAACTGGCAGTATTCATTCAGTCAATTCTTTTTAAATGAAGTACACGGCTTCCGCTGTCACACGAGGGATCCTGCCCATATCATCTTTAATGTTATCTTATTTCAATTAAATTCAGTCATGTTATATTCAAAAWGTTGTTGAACTGAAAACTGAGGGTAATCATTTAAGGGATTGACCACACCCCACCCCTCTCCCCTACTCTTCTTAACACCATCATTGCAGCTAAGAGGTAATAGATTCGCTCTTTTTCATCACTGTTGAAAACGATAATTTTTTTCCAAATTTATTAGTGCACACCATTAAACCTTTGCAGCGCGACAAGTATAGTAATATAAACAACATATACTAATTTATTCTTTTTGGCTGAAAATAAATGTGTACTCAGCTGCGTTTTCCTTGTTATTCCCTTTGCCACGACAACAATTGAGTATAAAAGCCAATATCAACTATCTATATTGTATAGAGAGAACGGCCTAAATTATAGATTAGAATGACTGAATTCTATAAGTCTTGGACTATATACTAGTTTTGATTTTTTTTACTAGTATTTTATTCGAATTCGTAATCATTTATATTTCTTAAGACTTGTTTACACTTGCGATTTTTGCAGTGCAATTGTCGCGCGACTATCTCCACTTGTTCTCGCGCACCTAAAATCGTACGTGTAAACAGCCCTGCGATTATTGCAGCTAAATTGCAGCTAAATTTCAAGCATGTTGGAAACTAAGGCGGTYAAAGTGTAAATGGGTCTTTATTAAAGCTCGACTATGGGCTACGATCGCMCATCATAAAGTGCGCGCAAACTGATATATCTGTTCATTATAAATCAGTATATTCCAATATCGACACAAGTAGTGAATGAAATAGAATAATAATATCCTAATAATGATAATAATAATGCTGGAAATAATTTCCGAATGAAAATTGAGAGTCCTAATGAATCTTAAATGAAAAAAATTAAATTGAATATATCAAATGACAATACAATTTTAAGATTTTTCCGTGTTTCCAACATCTCCGCACACTTTATTTCTCTGAAAGGTCAAGACAATTGTCACCACTTTTATTTCTTAAATTACACACATTTTACTCATAAATTCGACTTATGCACCGTAAAGATTTTAAATACATCATTTCCAAGTTGGTCATTCAGAATCTCATAAATTTCGTTTCATTCTCTTTTTGTTTGTTTGTGTTTGTTGTTGTTGTTGTTGTCGTTGTTGAAGTCATTGATCATTTCATATACCTGCAAAATCGATGTTGACGTTGTATTTTTCCTTGTATTCATACATTTTCTTAATAACAGGTGCTAACGTATGGCCAGTTGGGTATCAAGTTTCTCCTAGAGTTTTCCCATCAAAGTCATAACGAGACAAGTGTTCAAAATAAACCAACGGAAACCAAGACATATACATGACGTGGTGAGTGTATGATTTGAATAAGAAAATATATTTTTCACATTTTAACTTTAAAGGCCCGTTTATACTTGCGATTTTTGCAGAGCGAGTCTCGCGCGACTATCGCCTGAGTTTCGAACATGCTTGAAAATTGCCTGCAACTTCGCGGCAATTTTCCATCGCCGCAACAATTGCAGGTCTGTTTACACGTACGATTTTAGTTGCGCGAATGCAAAGTGGCGATTATCGCGCGACAATTGCGCAGCAAAAATTGGAAGTTTAAAACTTTTCTTCGACTGTTCCAAATTGATTACACTTTGCTTAGTTCGGACCGGGCTTGTGTTTCGCCCATTGCCATCTTTAAAGCATGGATGGAAACTTKCATTCTCTAATGTTTGACAGAACACCCACACGAAAGTGTATTATATTAGAATTAGAATTTCAGAAATATACAGAAATTATGATCGTTTGAATCATACAGCCTTTTGCAAAAATTATGAGAATTGTTGAAATATCTAAATATCATTATAATATCAAGTGCATGATCCCGCGCGATGCCCTTAGTCCCTTGTCTTTGTTGTTTAGTTTTTTTGGCGACTGACTTATCCGTAGTTCTGAACATTTTCTCGATGTCAACAATGAATTATTCTAGCAAACCCGCGTGTTCCGGACAGTATATGGATATGGATATATTATGATATTTAGATATTTAGACAATTCTCATAATTTTTGCAAAAGGCTGTATATCAACTATATATGAAGTATATCAAAAACTATGGGATATCATCGCTGATATTTTTCCCAGAAAGTACTTGCATGCTAGGCAACTTCAAAACAATATCAAAGATCATGTCTTATAGTTTCTAATTTTTTATATTTGGATTAAATATGAGTCAAAACGATTATATTATAAATGTATATAAGCCAAATAAAATTGGAAATGGTTCCGAAGAAACGTTTATTTTACGATTTGAACAATACTTTGGTTATCCTATTTGTATGTCAATATGTACATGGTAGTGATCTTATCAACTTTATTAATCTTCCATCGCCTTTAGTTGGTCTAGTTAGTCAACAATGACACTATTTTAGATTTTAGTAAATTATTTTCCGGGTTCAATATTGACATATCGCCACACTCCTCCATCTTTGATCAAACACCGGTAACTCAACTGCTCTATAATAGACTCTGTAATGATAACGTGCGAAGTGTTCTTCCGTGCGGTTGGTATATCTTTATCAGCTTATAATTGCAATTTAAAATAATTTCAATAAGCAATTTAAAAAATGGTGAGTTAAGGCTGGAAAGCGTGCCCTAGTAATTCTGCACTTGGGGTACTCAGGGGTGCACAAAATTGAAATGATAGGGACGTCAAAAAACAGGGCGTTTTCTTGTTTACGAAAGATCTCTCAGACATAACGCTCTTCATTGACTTTTTAATATATTCCTTTTGTACTAAAATACAAATGTTCTAATTCTCTTCGACAAGGTGTTTGTAATTTGTAATTGATACATTGAAAACTTTGACGGCTCATTAACCATTTTTTTAACTCTTTCATTACTAGAAATGCGCACATGGTCCTGTTCGCGTTGCTATTTCGTATATGATCTCTATATAAAGTGCATATAGCAAACATTCGTGCCTGAAATAATATTATTATATAATTAAAGAATCGCTTTCGGCAACCGGCATCCCATACGAGCCTTTGTTTATGTTTGAAAATAACAATTATGCATCGTAATATTAGCAAAAAAACTAAAATTATCCCCTTATGCTCTATGAATGGAGATATGGTAAGGGTCGATCTTTAAGTAATATCTTTAAGTAATCTTGAAGCAGATTTCGAATTGACCTGGTTTTCCACATGTGAAATATCTTAAACACGACCGCGCGCACTGAAGCCGCCATGTTGTTTACAGTCCTTTAATTCCTCTGTCTCAAACAGGATTTTAACTCTCTCCTAACATCCTTCTTGAATAAGAAATACACAAATGGGTTAACTGTACTGTTTAGATAGATAAGCAGGTTAACGATTGCTTCCTCGTTATGGCTCTTTACTGAGCATATAAATACATGAACTCTTGTGCAAAGTGTTATGTAAATATCGTACGACCAGCATAGCGCAAAAAGTAGGATAACAAGTCCTAGGACTAAYGTTGATGAGCTTCCTTCTCTCTCTAGAAGACTCGGTTGTCTCTTTTGCTCCTTCTTTTCGTTGTAATTTGAAGTTTTTTCCTCAAATACAGTAGTCTTTATTTTCAATTTTCCATTCGAGTTTTCATTTCGGTTCATATTTGTGGGAATTGAACCGTAGGGAATCTTCCTTTCAAATGCATTTTCCCTTCCTTTYGTTTCATTCCCATTTTCCAATCCTTCAATTCTGGCATTTTTGTTATAACTAACTTGTTCTCGTTGTTTTGAAACTTGTCTTGAGTGTCGTCGCACAACGGTAAAAATCCTCATGTATATTATAGGCATAGTTATTACTGGTATGACTTCGAAAATAATCAAAGATGTTAGATAATACACATCGTCACTTCTCTTCACATGTRCAGTATTYTTGTCATATTGCCAGAWGAARGGCAACATCGCAAAAATGGCGGGAAAAATCCATGCAATCGCAATGGAGACAGTTAAATACGTCCTTGTCATGTTTGTGATGTACCACAACGGATAGTTAATAGCTAAATATCTATCGCAAGTCATTAGGCACAGATTTGCAACTGAGGCTTCGGTGAAGAAGTTCCAAAACTTATAGAATGCTATCCAATCGCAGTCAATCACATTTGAACACAAAATTGAGAAAGTCGGAAGGGTTAGCCCGAGTAATAAATCCGCTATAGCCAACGATAGAATAAAGTAGTTGGGGTTGATCTGTAGGCTACGTCTTGTAGTTATAAGAAATACGACGAACCCATTGCCAAATACAGCTAAAACACCGATGATAGCTTCCATGATTGTGTACCAAAGGCCATACTCTGTAGTAGGTATTGTAGGTCTGTCGGTGACATTAAGCTTCATTCTTTAAGTAGTATGAATAAAGACTTTAGAATTCTATTAGTCCTGGCTAATATGCGTAGATTATCCCGTCGTAAATGGACTTGTTATTCTATGAGATGTTTGTTATAACTGAGGTCGTTTCCGTTTGGTGAGCGCCTTTTCGTATGTTAAACAGATCTTCTGAAAGGTAAACAGCTTGTACTTGACGTAGTGTCAAAAGTAAATCAGGTGGTCAATTTTTTCATTCTATTTTTTACTTTCGATCCTAATTTTGTAAAGCGAAACTATAGCAAGGACCCTTGTGGCTAAGTCTTCACTCCAGTTTCCTAATATCCTTTTCTGTTTAGCAGATATTTTCAGTTATCTGTATTTGAATCATGCATCTGTCTTCTCATGTGAATTGCCTTTTACTCTCAATTTGCAGTTACCAACCTCTTCTATTCCACGATGTCTTTGTTTGTTTTTATCAGCATTTCTTTCAACTATCGACTCCTTTATTGCAATGCAGAAGAGTTCAGGTTGCACTTTCCAATCCGATTAAGCTGTTTGCTTTTGATCAGCCTCGTTCAGCTATCGTCTTATAGTGGTACCGATACAGGACGGCTCGAGATGTAATTGAAGTTTTGTCACCTTGATATATTTTTCTAGTTAATAAGTGTGCAATATAGAGTCGGTGCCTTCAAGTCGTTTTTATGCGATTTCCCGCGGACTAAAAAGTGATTATCAACTGGTGATTTCAAATTTGCTTGTGTAGTTGCCTGGTATGCACCTGTTCAAGTGATAACATTATTGACTAGGAACTGAAAACAAAGGTTTATAATTCATGTATTGAAGTTTGTATAGCTACTGTCTCTCTGTTCAGACTTCAAATAGCCTTCTACCTTGTATAAAATTAGTTTCAAATTAATGTTTCTTATCTTGTTGATGTTGTCGTTGAAGATGTTGCTGCTGTTGCTAACGGACWCACAGCTGTTGCTAGCTCTGCTATGATAATTTKGCTGATGTTCTCGTCCTTGGTGATCAGAGCAAATRCAGACCTTGTTGYTCAGTTRGTTTTTACGTGTAGAAAATCATCGATTTTTGTGGATATTTTGGTTAAATCTGAAGACTACTTTRCAGCTGTWGCTTATTTTTAACATATGCTAAAGAAATAGTCGATATTTGTTGATAATGTTGTTTAGACGTTGGTGCTGTCCTTTTAATTTTTTACTAAGGCCGTGTTCTTCTACGTAAAAATAGATGAATATTGCCTTAAATACCTTACTGATAAAGTCCTGCTTTTGTTATTCTAGATAAATTATTATTACTCCTTCTTCGGTACCGTTGCTGCTCTTTCCAGTCCTCTCTCCACCTGGCTATATTTTGTTGGCCTCACAATATATAATTTTTATGTTCGGTCGCTTTTAAATGTGATATCTCCAATTCACTCTGTGTTGATACTGCTTTTTGTTACACTATGGTAACTATAGAGATCTCTTGTTTTAAGATTCTATAACACCTACTCTTTCTTTCACTTATGAATGTCCATTTTTTTCCTGTTTTCCCTTTTTGGATCTTGAAGATGTCATAAACGAGGCTGGAGGTTTTAGAGTATCATTCTCGTCGAGATGTTCACATTAATTAAAATCGAACTTGAAAGTAAAACATCTCAAGAAAATGTCTAAATTTCTTTTCTTTTTCGTCTTCTTGAGGTWGGAGTTGTGGTCTGTCACTCCTTTCTACTGCAGTTCCRCGATTTTATTTGAGAAAACCCTCGGTATCATCGACTTCTGAAACAGAATGTTCTGAATAAATGCCTGATCTTTCATYATCGTCCCACATTCAGCCCTCATTAGTGATGCGGCTTTTGCTTTGGCTTTTGCTCTTAGTCATAAATGAACGTGTCTCTCTGTCACATCTTCTTTAAAACCGCCAATCAAAGAGTTTATTCGCTATGAAACTGTACCCTTAATTACAGAATTTTCAGCTTCCGCCTTCAATACCAGTACTTATAAGCAGTACRAACCACAAGTGTCAGAGAAAAGGCATTGTAATTTAGATAATGTATCGTTGTGACGGTTAAAATGAACTGAGAAATTACAGTATATTCTTTAGATCAATATTTTASTTTCTTTGCCTGATCTTTAGATCAAAATAGAATTTGCACATAGGTGATAACATCGTAAAGACAAATAGTCGCTTTAAATTTATTGATGTGAGTAGGTATTGGATGCGACATAGAAAGATTCAATACAAACCTTGTATTATACCAGTATATTGCATTTATATTTTTTTCGAACTCAGTTGCGCAATAAAAAAAGACTTTCATGTTTTAAATTATGCGTTTTCGTTTGGTAGAATTCAATATAAACCTCGTAATAATTCAGTATATTATATTCATATTATAATTTTAACCTCAGAGGCCGCAAGAAAACGACTTCTAAGTTTTGAAATCTGTGTTTTCGTCCCGTGTTTTCCATTTTAGTCAGCCAAACGATTGAAAAGGCGCTACGTAAGCTRAAAAATCAGTGTTTCGGAGGCCTTATAGTTATAAATACTAGTTTTCAAGAGCAATGCATTTATAAAAGCAGATGTAGGGCTTACATTAGTTGTTTTCATCCTTCTTGATTCTTGTACTTATATTACAATGACTTGCGCCACACGCACCAGTTGACTGGGTATACTTCCTTTCTTTAAAAAGGTATTTAAAAAAAAATAGACCACCACCTTTAATTTTTAAAACCGTTCTACTATTTCAAGGATCAATGTGATAATAAATGCATATACCTTCCACAAAGGTTGTTTTAATCGAATCAACGTACATTTAATCATATGACACGCTTCGCGACATTATGAAAGCCAAAAAAATAATTATCATCATTTTTTTTCTAAGACGAAAATGAGGTTTTTGTACTCACCTGTTTGCCTTTAAGCAATTTTTTGACTTCCTCGTTTCCTCGACATATGAATGTAATCTCGATTTAACATGTTTTGACGTGTTTCATGAATCTTTCATCTTTATTTCCTTAAATATTTATACTATTCTCTATTTGGTCTATATATTTACGTTATATTTTACTAGTTTTTTTGCGAAGTTCATCATTAAAAAATGATAATTACATATTATTACACTTCTCAATGCATATTTTGAAGCGCAAGATATATTTTCTATCTATTTTTTCTCATTCATACACTTAATTATTTTTCTTAATTCTTCTTGAGCGAAATAATATGCACAATTAGCAAAATAGATTTCACGAGATTTCGAGTTATTCAACACTAGTCTTGTGAAAATACAGCCTTTTTACTTGTACTATAACAACCATGTAGTAAATCATTCACTGTAGTTCCAAATTTTATATATACTAATAAGACACGCCGCGCTATTCTTCAGACCTTACAATATATCAAAACAAGAATCTTGCATGCAATATTAATAGAAAGAGAGCTCCCACTGTCAGAATTTATAAACAAATCGGCGGGAGAGATGTAACTCTTAATATCAAAAAAAATCAATCTCACGTATTTTTTGGGTATTGCACCAAGAATATATATACATTATTTGCACTRCATTAATCACAAAATTCGTAATGGATCATAAATATCTCATATATTGGTTTAGGGATTAGAATTTTAGATTAAGAGCTGCAAGTTTGAACAGCTGCGGAGCCCGGCAATTTGCACATGTGTCTGCCTATATTCAAATTTAGTAAATTTACACCCAGTACATAAAAAGTTTTTGTGATATAGCACTCACAGTTAACTCCATGGGCTTCAACTAACTTTATATATCAGAAGTAAACGTTAATTAATAATCTTGACAACTACTCAGGTCCTTATACTATACAGGAGAACGTGCGCGAGACAGAAGAAGGGTGCGCTGTACGATTTATCCAAATTCGKAATGACATTTGTTATTTGTTCATAGCGACTTCTGCGTGCCATCAGTCTAGTCATTCTGGTGTTCATTTGTGCTAAGTGTGAATAGSGCTATCWACCCGTGGATATTAAAGWCCTTATCCAACGYATAAAAACCATGYAATCTATTTGGTGGRAAMYTWTTTTTTWAAGTGAAAACTTTTTCCTCGCTTCGTGCAACTATACAAAGATCTGTASCAGGAAAARAWGMAGSCTCTTCACTGCTTATTCCATTTCAAGAACAACTGCCGGCAAAATGAAATGAACTCGATTTTAAYRTTTTCGCGCGCTTTGCAATTTAACTATTCCTTTCCGATTGACACGTGRCCACTCCCTGACTTCGATATCTTAGGCCCGTTTCAGACGGCGATCTTTTTTCGAGTCTAATCTAATTGATGGAGTTGAATTTATGAGCATTTTGTACTCTGAATTTATTGACATTAGTATAGATTTTGTGGACAAACTTACTATAATCCGTAAATATCAATCGATGTAGATTGCAAACTTCTCGAGACTTTTCTTGTAAGCAATTAGATTAGACGCGGCAAAAGATCGACGTCTGAAACGGGCCTTATCGATATATTGAAAGTATTATAATGGGTAAATGGATAAATGAAACGGTATCTAAATAAATTAATAGATGAATGGAGTAAATTATGAATATATTAATGACTGCATTAATTAATTGATATCTGGATGACTGGATAGATTAATTAACGGCACAGATGATTGAATAGACGATCTGATTAATGGATTAATGAATAAATTAATAGACAGGTGAATGCATAAATTAATTGATTTTTGGATTGAATAAGTCAATAAATTGATAAATAAGTGAATGGTATGTATTGGTGGTTTAAGACTTTCAATTTATTCGATCCCATTTCAATTATTATACTTTGCGTGAAGAGGATAACTCAACGAAAACAATTAATAGACCTCTTCGGTGATGTAGGGCTTATTTCCTCCAAGTACTTATTAAAAAAAGGGAAAAASCAAATARAACTATAGWGCTATCGGACATCGCGTGCATTSGGAAAAAAAAGTTATSTAATTAATTAAACCCTGAAGGCGCCATCTTCGCTTCAAATGATTAATCAGATTGGCTTTGCAACTATGTGMCTGTCTTTTCGGAAAGGGTTCAGACAAATTGCCTTCCTGTGGGATTCAACATGGGTGGTGCAAAACTACTGCATGTTTTGAATTATGTTTGTGTTGTTTTCAGCATAGTGTTACCATTTCGGTCTTACCTAGGGCTATTTGATCACTACCAAGATAAAAAATATATGGTTTTTATTTATAGTTTTAAAGGTCCATTGACAAACGGCAGTCACTCCATGCGATTTTTTCATATATGAAAAGTGGCTTCAAATATTCATTCACAATTTGTTTCCATCTGTCGGTTTTACTAGAGAATCTGACAATATCTGCATTCATAGCTCATAAAGGAATGATAAAGAGTACATTTTCTTTATCTTACGATATGTTTTCATTTTAAAAGCATAAATAAAACCTCGTAAAGGATGTCTATCGACCAAGCGTCACGTTAATTCGCTTTTCTCGTGAGTGAGGGAGAATTGAAGAATTGTTCTTGTAATACTCAGCCTTGAGCAGTTTAGTTAATTGTGTCAATAATGCAGTGCTTAATGTATTTACCCTACGGCTGTTTTTAACTCTATTTTATGTGTTTGTTTGCGTTTACTTAACCGATTCTAGAAAACGTGACCATGGCTCACGTTACCTGATATATGATTAGATGATAGTAATTCTGTTTTAGAATGATTATCATTATACTTTCTCAGGCCTTTCTCGGCGTTTTCTCAACTGTTTTCCCAGTTTTTTATCCTATTTCTCTCTTCTCTAGATTCTAATCTTGTAACCTCTTCATATTGCATTACTTTAAAGTCATTCTTAACTCAGGATTTCTTTAATATACATCTTCCAGTTCATGCTGTTTATTTTTTCATCACTCAATTGTACTAGGATTGCTTTTTATCTTTATTTAGAACTCATATATGATACATTTGGCTTGACAAAGCTATTAAATCGCATTCTGGTATCAATGAGCGGTTTTGCTGAAAATGACCCCAACCTTCCCACCATCCTTCACTCGCCTGCATCTATTTACAATACCGCCAATGGTCCTTATGAGTGACCTGCGCAAATCCTCTTTAAGTAAAGAATATACCATTGGGTTCCCTGCACTGTTTAAGAACAGCAATAGACGTGATAGTTTGTCTAAAAGTGGAGTTGATTGACCCAGGTTAAAATACGCACATAAGGACCTATAGGTAGATAGACACCAACATGTTACAAATAACAATATCATGGTACCCATRACCTTAGCGGACGATTTCATGGTGGTGCCTCTATTATTAGTCGCCATTCTTTTGATGTTGAAGTTCAGCTGTGCGTCCAATATCGCCAAATGACGGCTATGACGACGTACGACAATGATAATTCTCACGTAAACCAATAAGAGAACTGTCACGGGGACCAGAACGAACGCGAAGATCACAAACACTCGGAAAACCCTTTCCGGTGCGTCACTTTCAGTGTCTTTAAACCGCCAGAAGACTGGTGCCAAGGCAGTAATTCCAGGTACAGCCCAGGCAAGACCAATGGCAAAGCATGCTCTCTTGGTAGTCATGACAGCAGGATAGCGTAGAGGATGGATTATAGCGATGTATCKGTCTAAAGTCATAGCGCACAGATTTCCAATGGAAGTGAACAGAAACAACTCAAAGAACAAYACTTGTACGTCCCATGAGCACGTGAAATGTAATCGTGAGCACGCAAAGAAKGTTGGGATAATAAAGATACCCACGAAGAAATCTGCGAAAGCCAAAGACAATATAAACCAGTTCCCAGTCCTGCGCAAACGTTTCTGGCTGGTCACTAAGTAAATGACAGTCCCATTGCCAATGATAATCAGTATGGCTTCCAAGCAWGCTATGCACCARAACCATTTYTCTGTTCTGTCAGGGTTGTGATTCGGACGTCCTTCTAAAGATGACATGGCACGAATATTGAGCTCTGGTGAACGTTGTTGGTTGGGGGAKGGGTGCGAAGGGGTTTACTTTTCCTGTGTCTTCTGGCTTCTTTGCCAATGTTATTGTAATGTAAAAATGTTTTGGTTATTTATTTACGATCAGGAATGGACTTCAACTTCTAATATGTAGTATTTGTACCAATGGCGGCCATCTTGGATTACAATCGCGCAAATGTTTATTGGATAATCTCTATTCGTTAATTCTACAAAAGAATAAAGAAATAGAACACTTAGTTATAGATTTCTATTAAAACCTAATAGAAATGCTGCATAGATTTTCTACCATACTCCTCCACACACAACATCGAGAATTCAAATAGAGCCCCTTCGCCCCTTTTTAACCGCACCTAATGCCGCAGGTTTGCAGACTTCATTATTGAATATTAAACAAGGCACATTAAAAAAAAAATCATTTGTTGACACAGACTAACACATCAAACCCTCAATATAACACCCAGCAGTTTTTCCTAATTTCCCAAAAAACTTGTATTTAGAATCGCACTTTCTCACAAGAAAAATTAATTAAATTTGCACAACAAATCTCAAGCGTAAAATGTTTTCATTTATGGATGATTTTGTTTGTTTTCACATTGTTCGTCTTATCTACAATATCTTGATTCTTAAAAAGCTCTTTTAAGAGCTTTAGCAAAGGTTACTATATTGGACTAAAATTGTGACTTTGATGAAATTTCATATGATTTTAACCAATTAATTAAGGAATTTTTTCAGAAAGTTCATCATGTAATTCTACAATAACATCCTTTTTCAGCGGGAAAGTGTTCCGACCACGCAATCGCAGCTGACAGCGCTCCATCTTTGAAAA